GACGAGGCTTCAGAATCTACAATCATTTTAAGGTAAACTACTTACCGGGCTACTCGGCAACGAACTTCGGCAATTGACGAGCAAGTTGTCCGAGGAAATGTTACGAGTCGGAAAAATGGCTCAAAGGAGAGGGTTGGGTACGGAAGAGAAAGAGTTAAAAAAAGGTTGGGATATCTGAGCAGTTACCCACTTGTCGCTATCCCCCTCGCTCGATGCAATGAGTAGCGCGGTCCTGATTATCCTGCGCGACGACCGATGCAGTATGGAATTATTTTTTGGTTGTGTATGCATTAGAGTTTGATGGGCGGGTATACTGCCACGGGTTCCAGCCACTAAGCAGGGGAACGTCTAGGGTTCTTGTCTAAAGCCTTTAGTTCTAAAAAGAACCTAACCACAAGGCAGCCGGTAAAGCGGAGTAAATGCCCATCTACTTGGATCAGTTACTCCCTTACTATTTTGCCGACTGAGACGCTAACTCGAGTCGAATCCCCAACCTGGAGGACCAGGAGACCGAACGTCGTCTTCTAATCTCTGACCTTCCAGGCATGATAAGATCTCTTGGCTTGACAAAAGCCATTCTGTGTAGCTCGTTGGGTCATAGAGGTGCACAAGCCATCACACCACGTGATGATCCTGCACAAGGTGCGTATTTGAATGTAAACCGCAATAAACTTAGTTTCATAGAGTGGACTATCGGGTCCCATTTCTAGTAAGTACTTTCAGAGAGATTCAGGCAAACAAAGTCTTTCGTTTCGCTCTACGTATACAAAAAAGAACACATACGACAACCTGCGAGACTATCAAATTAGCACGCAAAAATGCAGTCCTAAAATTCGTTATTGTTCGGGTCCAAAGCGGAATACGTACCGTGATAACAGGGACTGGCTGAACATTGTCTGTTGGTCATAGTGTCTCGCCAATTCACAGCTCAGTTGATATTGGGATAGTCCAACCGAATGGCGATACGTTTTTAGTCGCTTGACAAACCGCTGCAATTCGGATAAGTTGTTCCCGGACACGACAACATCTGCATCCGCGCCGTTTCGCGACTCATGTTCTTTCAATACGGACTTAACTGAAACATGTGCGGCAGAACGAAACAAACACACTGGCGTATACTGGCGTATGGGTTGACATTAGTTTTCGCAATAACTTGATCTGCATGAAAAATAACAGATTATTGAATAAAATCGGTACGTTCAAAAACGCTTACTAAATGATATGATCTTAAAATGTCATTAGGAAATATTAAAGGATAACGGGCGAGAAAGAGACCAAAAAGCTGTCCAAATTGATGGAAAGGATAGTTACAACTTGTAGGAGTGCTATCTTTCATGGTTAAGGAATGAAGTTGTAAAGAGAATTTGTGAAATACCTCACCACTGTGCATGTGTTGTGAAGTCAGAGGTAGAAGCATAATGAAGTCTGAGAAATTATGTTAGAAGCTTTGGAGCATACATTAGTGAGTGGAGTTATTATTCAATCCGATATCATAACCTAGCTTCGAACATGACTTCTGGCTTAAAAATATCCTATTCTGTAAGAGAACGCAATCAATTACTGAGCACCGATAACACTAATAGCGAGACGATTTGGCTATACCAAAGCTTGAACAAAGTGTTTCTAACCAAAAGGTTCCCCTTTCGTATCTAGTGGTACAACTTTTCTTGGTGCACCCATTTTTCCTTAGGCTCAAACTGCATTGTTTGCTGACTGTTTTTGAATAGACAATCTATTTTTAGTTTTTAAAACCCTTAACCTTGAACTATCGAGTGACGGTTTGGGTTGGTGTCTTGAACAGGAAGAGGTCAGTCAGAGGGCTGGCATGGGGTACAATGCAGTAGGAAAGCTTAGAGGCGGTGGTAATGGGATTCGGACATAGGAACTCTGATACGAAGTGGAGATGACTTCTACTGCTCAACTACATCAAGTTTGGTAAGGAAAATGGATATTTCATAAGAAAAAGATAGATAAAAAGCGAGAAATTCAGTAGATTAGAAGTTACGTAACCCTAGTAAAAATGGATTCCTGAATTATGGAAGAACAACCGAAACCAATGAATATATGAATTTGATTGTTCTTCTTGTGGGTTAGCGGTGACATATTTCTATGACCATGGCGTCGATCTTGAATAACTTCTGATTTGAAAAATCCACCACGGTTCAGTTTTTTTCACCCATATTTGCTTCGAGCATGACAGCTGGCAATCAATCCACCTCATTACTCTCTCCCCTATCGATCTAACTAATGGTTCACTACACAATAACACATCCTCTTAATAATACCTCATTTATTTACTTTGACAAGGAAATCTAAGAACAAACGATCAACGCAAAACTAACCCTAGAATCTTACCATGCAGTATTCACTTCGATAGTTCGTCTTTAGTAATGCAAGCATTGTTTTGCCATTGTGTAAACTAATCAAGCGTTGTGGCCCCAGGTATGTTGCACTGATATGCACGGACTGGTATATCGATCTTGGTATGTGTCATAGTTCATATTTCACCAAACTGATTGCTGTGATCTTTTTTGCATTATTCAATAAATGTCAAAGCACGATGAGATGGGAGAGAATGGTAAACCTGGTTGTCATAAAAGCACCGCTAAAACGCACAAAAAAAGAAAAAGGAAACTCTTGTCTCATGCCCTGGAATAACAAGCATTAAAACCGTAATAAAAAGGGTGTGGTATCGCTCGCGCTTCAACGTTAATGAACTATATGCTTTTTGGTATTACAAAGCTAGTTGAAAAATTGGAGAGCAGGCAACCACACTATCGCTCGCCACAATAAAATATCGCTATTGAACTCAGGCTCTGCAATAACACGCACATCTCACTACCTTCTGAGTCAGAAGCATTCCTAGGGATTTCAGAAGATCTGGGTAAGGCTTTCCCAGTTTTTCCGTGCTTCACATACAAAGCCATCACACTATAAAATCCCTGAACAGAGCCAATAGAAAGAGTAGACGGATTCTAATATTTCAGCTTTGGAGTCCGATCCGTCGANTATCAAAAATTAATTCACATTTTCGGTTTTACAACCGTTAGCCATGTATTTCGTGCAATGGTTTTGGTTGCTGCCTCTTGGCTGCTCATTTGGATGAAGGCGTGGGGAAGATTGAAATGTTTAGATCAGTGTCAAAGTGAGAATAGATTATTTATGAAGATTAGGTTGGCAAGGATATTGAGTAGATGCACGAGCACCGCTGGTTACGTAACAACCATATCGCTCAAGGTATTTAACCACCGATTACAATGATCTAGAGGTCCCTATCCAGCAAGGCTAACGTGATCTATGTGAACAAGTCTCCTCTTCAGGGTTTTCATACCCTCATGCCAGGTCTTAGTTTGATCACGCTTTACTTTTTCCATCCATCAACTGTGTCAGCTAACAGCGCGCATCGTGCCAACCTGTTTGGTGACATATGTACCGCATACCACAACTAAACTAATCTATAGAGGTCGATCACCTGCTCCAGAGAGCGACCTCGGTTACTTAAAACTCTGCTTCTAACTTCAGCATTGTTCGTTCGGATTGCCCTGGCAATCCTCAGGCAATCCGGCGTAGAGAGCGTTGTTCAAACACAACTTAGCTGTATCTTGTTTTCTTTGTGACCAAGTCTCTGCACCAAAGAGCAGAACCGACTAAATTGTTACAGCATAGACTGGACCCTTCGGATGTCGCTTCGGTGCCACAGATTTCTTGAGTTAGCCAATACCAACCGAGCCTTCGGCATGCGTGCCGACACTTCATCGCTTATTTATCCACCGGGTGAGAAATCGCTGCTCAAAAATAACAAAATTTGTCCACTTGCTCTATTACTCTCTCAGTTTGAGTGGTAGTTGAGGCCGGATCAGCCCAGTCCCGTAGCAACATCAGATACTCTGAAGGTGCAAAACGTATGTCGAGTGTGACCGCACCAGCATTCAAACTATCCAGAAAAGCGCCACTTGCCTGGGTCTTCACTTAGCGGTACAATGTCATCAGCACACCCCATAACAGACAGTCTGCCATATGGGGGCATATAAATGCCACTATCCTCGCACGTGGACGGGGTTGTTTCTAAAATTAAATCTAGAACAACGTTTAAAAACGGAGATAGAAGACAGCCTGGCGGACACCGCTTTCTTTGGTGAACTCAAGCGAAAAAGTGCCGCAGGCTCGGATCTGGCTTCGGCTATGAGTGTAAAGGGATCATAATATTGAAAGAAACTTTCTGAGTACACGCTTCAGGGAGAGGCAGCTACGTAAGGCACTATGGAACAGTAGCGAAATTAGACAACGCATTAGGATGTCCTTCGAGTTGACGTTTGTTCTGTTTTTCCGTACAACTATGACATCTGATGAGTGTATGCTAGCTGCGATACACCCTCAAGATACAACAACAAGAACGAATATCTAATGGAAAAACTGAACGACGAAGCAAAGGAATTAGGAAACATTCTTTTTCTACTGTGTCGTCAGTTTGGTCGGGCTCTCCGACAAAATGCGAACACCACCTCGAAAAATGCCCCCGACAAATACCACTTCCCGAATCGCACGGTCACTCAGATGGTAAACTGCTCAGCACGGTAAAGAATAATTTATACCGATTAGACTCCAGAAATAATCACGCATCAAAAGAATATTGCACAAATAGAGCCTCAGTTAGTACACACTCCGTGGTGGACTGATAGATGTATACAGTACATACTCGAAGTATGCAACAGGCCCACCTATTCTCATAAAGGAACTGATCACGCAAAAGCATGTCGGTCCCGCCCCTAACCAGACGGCTAATATTATAAGCAAATGGGTTGCATACGCTAGGATATTGCAAGAGTGGAAACCAAACAGGGGATCAACGTATGAATGAAGCTACTGTGGCCACTTAACCGTAATGACTTCAACCGACTGGGTAACATAATGCCTTCCCCGAGAGCCTGAAAGCTTCGAGACTGAGATCTGGTATTCCCTGAACATGCGTCTATCTCGTTTCCAGACTCTAAATTTCGTGCCCCGTCAACGCACAGATACTGGACCAAATCCTAGTGAGCAATGAAACAAACCAGTTCGGAAAAGCCAGGTCGAATGTATGTATAAAAATAACCGTGAAAATTCGCGAGAAATCAAAACTTGCCAATGGCACACCCACACGGTATTCGAACAGCGAAGGAGTGTGACGGTTCCACCGTGCGGTACTTTCAATTAATAAGAAGGATGTCACAGCAACCGCAAACTAAGCACTAATAATCCAAATACCAGCAGGTCACAGGAGCGATGAATTTCGAGAGCATATGAGTAAATATTCTTTTGTGTATTATAAACATTTTACTTCGGCTCGAGCACACACACGGTGTCAATGTGACAACAATGACGATAGAAACGCCGGATTGGGGTATAAATAAGAGAAGTGAAAGTGAGCGATAACAAATTACCGAGGAAACCAAGAACAAAAGAACTCTCTTGTTTCACCTTCTGCAGATTTTGATAGCTTTGTGTTCGGCCTTACACAGGGCTCGAGGTTTCAACAAAGACGGCGTAAAATATTCGAGCCACTTGCTCTTATTCTGAGCCGTATATCTGAGTGTCTCTAACCAAATAGCCCGGATCTCAATGTGATTGAAAATCTGTTTTCTGTTTGAACAGAGAGGTCAATGTGCTACCTGCATATTGGGCATTGTAGGAAAAAGTGCAATACGTAATAGAGCACAAAATCTCAGCAGCATCATCATCGTACACCGAAATACAGTGAGGCGAACTTCACAGATCGCACAAAATAGAAAATGACTTTTATAACAAATCTGGTGGATTCAATGCCGAAAAGATTCAAAAAATTCCTAATGAATAAAGGCAGACCAGTCGACTAGTAGTGTACACGAACTTTACATCTTAATTATTATCAATGTTAATTTGTTGTAAATAAAATAGTTTTAATCTCTTTAGTTACCTCTTAACTCATCATTGTGCAGATTAAACACTACTGATGAAATGGGAGTATCCGCTACATTCTGAAGCATTCTATCTGCTGGTTATAAACTAATCACGAACACCACTACTCTAAAGACTCATCAAGGCTTATTTATTATTACTTAAAAAAATATTTACTTCAGTATAAATGTTGTTGCTTATACGAACCCTCAAGTGTTTCACAGGGACCAGTTTAGACATGTACATACATACATTTACACAAGCGCGTGAACTGGTGCCATCGTAGGAACTCAAAATCTGACGGTTAAACAATGAGTTTCTGTGACTGGCACAAACTGCCTACGCCGAAAATTCACTCAATCTCCAGGGGAGAAAAAAGCGAATCTCGACTTGAAATTGCAGGTGTAAAGTGGAGCTAGATGCTAATAGGCTGGGATGAGCAGTTTAAGAAAGTTAACCACCTGTACTGCAGCCATCTACATGTGTCACTCTGTGTCATAGCTAGCATCTTCAATTTGATAAAAGCATTCCCTTGCAGACTCTACACCGGATCTTGGGGCACAGTTAAATAAGTTTTCATCGAATAACCTGGATAAAGGACGGATCACGATTAAAATTCATTGGCAAAGCGATGGACGGCGACTTCAAAATCAAGAAGACTCAGAGGATGATCAGAAGAAATTTAGGGATTTAATACAATTAAGGTATCTCGTTGACAAACGTTCTGTTGTGCTTGATTATCATGAACTGACCGCAAGTATATAGATCGATAAAATAAAATGTAAATCAATTCCACGGATGACGGTGATATCACTACTACCGCTAATAATAATAATAATACCTACCAAACTGACTGAGGACCCCAGAATCGTCGGCATCACGCGACTTGCTAGGACTCACAACTGGACCACCACGAGTTCCACTTAGCTGCGATCGGGGTAGTGTAGCATCCATGGGTTTCTCTGTCACCGATAAATCCTCCACTTGTGCATGTTCTAAGCTTTCTTCTTGAGAGAAATTCCAAGCGTGGTGACCCACAGTAGATAGATTCTGAGGAACGGAATCCATCACGTCCATCGCGACTGTCCAGTGCTCGGATTCACCGACCGCTGAACGAGAACAGGTCGAATTCATCTCCGATCCATGATAGGGGAGAGAAGATGAGGCTAAATGTTGCTTCAGATCCTCATGTATACCGCCTGTTTTATCCACGGATAAGTTCGTCGGATGTTCCGGACTGAACGAAGATGCATCTCCAACAAGCTTTTTGAGAAAATAACTACCATTGCGTCGTTCAATGGAAAAGTTGGCAAGAATTAGCTGTCCTAAATGAGTTGGTGAAGTAAAAACATGAAGCTCAAACGTTTGAGAAATGGGAAAACACGAGACTATATATGATAGTAGGTGGGGAAAGTAGAAAAAGCCCTGTAAAAACTTGGACTACCAAAGATCAATACTGGTGATTATAGAACTTTGACCTATTCTGCCTTTAAACGCAGAACAAAAAGCTGCTTCTAGGTTGAGTGTTCTTTTTGCCGTTGAATTTACTGTACATACTTGGATTAGGGGCTTTGTCACTTTATTTGGTAACTTGATATATGTATATTTTTCGTCACCATAACCTTGTTTGCAAAACATGGGGGACTTTTTGATAGACAGCTCTTTCAGAGCCAGTCCACTGAAGAATGAATGCTTTTGTAAGATGCAACTAACCGCAACAAACGTGACCTGATCGTCTTTACACAATATTTCATAACAAGTAGTATGTAAACAACCGGACAAAATTTCCCCGGTAAGCACACGACCGCTTTCACATTCAATTTCAGTTTTTACAACCATTAACCATGCACTTTCGTGCACCGGTTTTGGTTCCTATCTTTCGGCTGCCCATTTGGATGAACATTAGGAAAAAGACAGGAAAGGTTGAAAGAAGGATCGAAGAGAAAACTGAAAAGTTCTGTGAACTAATGCAACAGAGAAATTCAGAAGAAGCACGAACGCCACTTTTCACGACACCCAGCCATATCGCCCAGTGTCTCTAACCATCGGTTACGATCAT